TATGAGTAAAGTCAGCTTAGACTACAACATTTTTTTTCTGTTTGCATTTTTATACTTTTATTAAAATAAACCAAAAGTTAACTTGTTAAAAAAGAATTCAGAGAATACATGAAACACACTTTAAACATGTTTAGCTTTCATTAACCATTAGCAGTTCTTCTCCTCTAATTTCAGTCAAAGCTCCTCTTACCATCRGTCACACTTGACTAAATTTAAACCRGATACCTCACCTACCATTTGTTCTTGCTGACTTTGCAGCTCTGTTTCATTTTCAGCCAACGCCAATCAGATCAGTGGGCATGGAAGTTCAACAGTGGAATATGATGGAGAGGCCCACTTTAACTGTGCTGTTTCACCTCCAACAGGTAAATCCTTTAATCTTTATCCTCTGGGTAACGGACTCCCCTCAGGCTGGAGTTACCTTCCTAAAAATAGACGTGGCCTAATGACTGTGCGTGCACCTTCTTCCCGGCAGGTGTGCGGCAGGTGACTTGGCAGAGGCCATCCAAGGATGAAAAGATAGTGAACTTGGCCACATTCAGCACAAGTTACGGGGAGCAGGTTAATGAACCCTATAAAGGAAAAGTCGTCTTGACAGAAACGTCTCTCAACTCGTCCTCCATCATTCTGAGGAACGTCACGTGGGAAGATGAAGGCTGCTATATTTGTGCTTTTAATGTTTATCCRGACGGGTCCAAGAGGAAGCAGATGTGCCTCACAGTACAAGGTAGGGTATATAGCTCCACGGTGACTGAGGGAAAAGTACAAAAAACAGTTGTTAATAACATCACCCAAAAGCGACAAATTTCAATTTTCCGTTAAGGAATATCAAAGGTGAACACGAGCCGTGAGTCCAGTGTCGAACAGGAAAGAGAAGCCAGACAGGAAGTGTTCAGCTGCTCGGCTACAGGAAAACCAGCTCCATCCATTGAGTGGGATGTCTCACCTGGTGCCATCATAACCCAAACTGTACAGCAGCGTGTAGTCGTGAACAGGGACAGCACATTCACCAACAGCAGCAGCATCACGGTGCACATACCTGCAGAATGGACRGGACACGTGGACTGTCTGCTGAACCAAGGAAGGACAGGAGAAAGACGAGAAACACTTTATTCTTCTGTTCAAACAGAAGAGCTGAAAAGAATAGGTAAGCATGCTGGACTTTACTCAGAATTTTAGTATTTACTGTTAATATAGGTGGTGTTTTTATTTTGGTATTATCAGATTACAACAGCAGGGAGTGCCACTGCTGTGGAAGATCAGTTTCTAAATGATCTTTATTTTGCTCTGACCGATGGGAAGGGTTTGGGTAAGAGTTACCGCCAAAATGAAATCCTGGCCCTGGTTTTAAGGAAGTCTCAGMGAGAGGTGTCATCTCTACCGAGACCTCCGATTCGTTAGAAGTTCCCCGGCAAGGTTAATTTGACCTACCCTCTGCCTGGTAGTGATGTCATACAAACCCGCAGGTTAATGCCAAACCATTCAAACAAACCAGGAAGTCAGGAAATCCCAGCAGTCCAATCATTCTTAGCTTCATTTCCTCAAGAGACAAAGACCACAAAAAGGTCTTTCTTTACAGAGACAGACCCCGGATCTGAAGAGACAAAAACTATGACACAGAGTGAATTCATTCAAGCACAGTCCTTTTAATCAGCTGATCTGTGACTCAAAACCTTGAAGTTTCAGTTTCACTTTGATTTTAGTTTCARGTTCCAGGAAACCCCACGTCACTCTTCACTGATCTGTGACCTGATCATGTGCAGCTCATGTGGGGTCTTTTTCTCTGGGGGCTCTCAGAACAAAGCATAGAGGTTAATTCTTGAACTTTAAATGTAAAAGTTTGGGATTTCCAGCTTCCTGTTTTTGAGAATTACGAATAGCTGCAGGCTAACTGAGTGTTGTTTCTCTTCAGGGAAAGACCAGATCGCAGCGGTCGTCATTGCTTTAATAGTCATTGTTTGCATCATTGTGGCAGCTGTAGTCATCCATAAAAGGTAAGATATCTGGTTTTACAGCAGAGGGATCCTTATCAGCACCAATAACGCTCATGTTTTTACGTTTCATATTTAACTCAGCTGTTTTCTCTTTCTGGCAGGTTAAAGTGGAAGCAAAGAAGAGATTATATTCCTTGAAGAGTTTTTCAGCAACCACAGCAAAAAAAACCCAAGCAGCACTTTAAATACTGTTTTGTTTTTTTTTCACTTGCAAGTGAATAAGCTAAAGCTAAGCTGTGTTCTTAGAAGCAGTTTTTGTTCATATGTTCATGGTAAAAAAATGTTTGACAAATGAACCTGAACAGGTGACATTTCAGTCTAACAGCAGCACTTTAATTTCAATATTGAGCCTCTGTCGAATGTAAAAACTCAGAAAACAGAGGAAAGTTTGAGACAAAAATGTCTGTGTTACAACAGTTTCAAGGTAAAAACAATATGTGGAGGCTTGGATATGATTCACTTTTTGTTTCAGAGTAAATGAAAGTTTCTTGACTGCAGAAAAAACAAGTTAATGTGGCAACAGGAAAGAGAAACTGATAACAAGTCAGACTGAAGATTTGCTGCCATCTAGTGTTTGTATTTAAGAACTGCAGTTTGTGCCAGGAAAAGTCTTGTTAAAATTATTTATAGTTTTCAGTTACCTCAAATATATGATTTCTGCGAATAATAGTTTATTTTTAGTGCCTTTTACATTCAATTAATTTGAACTTTTCTTTGCAGTTTGCACACGTGGCTTCATGTGATTTGTTGTTGACAAGTACGTGAAAACAAAAATGTTTGTGATTTAGTGTCCTAATGTTCCCRTTTCTGTTCTAATACTTAACCACTAACCTGTGGAGCTGGGGGCTGAAATTATAATCCCGTACTCCATTATAGTTTTAGTTTATTTGAAAATGTATTTATTTATTTATGAATAAAAGTGATGTGATTTAATGTAATCTATGTTTGAACAGTTTATGATCACCACCACTCACCAATGTGAGGCTCAGTTTACAAACAAGCTCATTTAAATGTTGACTATAAATATTTTTTGGTTTAATTTATCTTTTAATGTTTGCTGTTACTTCATTTTCAGATACTTTAATTTATGTTTCATTTAAGCCTAACTGTATAAAGTATGTGACAAAAAAGACATTTTCTCAGCAGTGATTTGTCAAAACAATATGTAAAAAACCCAACTAAAGAACATCGATAAATACATTTACATAGCTATGCTTTTGTCACATTACAGCCTTGTTATTTTTAAACAACTTTTTATGTTAATAGAGAATAATATCACTTGGAAGTAAACAAAGGGTTTGATTGTCACGTCTCACAGTCACTGAACACAATGAATACTTCATTAATGTTGGTAGTTTAGAGCTTTATTTTGTCAAAGTGAGCATTTATTATGTATATCATTTTATAATTCCACATACATCACCCGTCAAAAGTTAAGACACGTTTTTCATTCACAATGTTTTTCTAACAATGAAAGTTGAAAATGAAGTCATCCAGACTAAAGCGACACATAAGAACCAGAATATATTAAAGTCAGGGCTGTGTATTGGCAAGAACTTGGTGATGTATCACGACATGGCGTCACAATATGATATATTACCATACTGTAAACAAGGCAATATTGTCATTTAGGTTAATTCAGGTTTAAGGGCTTGTGGAGTTAATTGTTTTATTGTCTTGGTGTGATAAACTGAAGTATTTAATCATAATGGGTTGGGTTTGTAGAAAACACCAAAAACATAATTAGGTTGTCTTCAGACCCAGACCTCCCTTGAAAAAGAGTTCTGCGATCTCAATGGGATTTGCCTGGTAAAATGACAGTAAAATGAAAATAAAATAAATTTCCACTAATTTGTGTCATGAATAAATGCCACTACAACTGCAAAATAGACTTGCTTACATAACGACCAGCCTGTCTGAGGGTCCCTGGACCATTTGGAGAAAACCCTCCTGAGATTTTCAGATACTCCAGTAACATGTGTTCTGCAGTGTGCTTTTAGGATTTCTTTACTACTTTGACAAAGTTCTAAATATATTTCAAGTGTTTTTACTGACTTTTCTCTCTTCAGTGTTGATATACATCTCTCCAGGGGTTCCTAAACCTTTCCATACCATGGCCCCCCAAACAGCATAAGCTTCTGGACGAGGACCCCCTTATAAACTCACAAACAATGCTACAAAATCTGGAAATAAACAAACTTTTAGAATGTTTTTCCTCATATTAATTTACTATTGTATAAAAAACAACTTTTCAACCAATTGTTGATGAACAGAACAAAAGAAATTATAATAAATACTATTTAATAT